ATCCCGGCCAGAATCCTGCTTGTTGTCCTTTGGTCCCATCTTGAAGCACTATTCTAGAATAAGCAACGCATTGAGCCTAGTTACAATATGGCTCAAGCTAACGCCTCTGAAGTTGCGCCTCTGCGAGCAAACTTTCTGAAAACGGACACTATTACTGACCGATTCTATTTGGCTAGGATGGTCTCTCCCGCCCAGATGGAGGAAAATAAATTGAGTTTGAAGTTCACTTCCACCACTGAACAGGAGCAAGATTTCGGTGCCACATAGAGGATAAAACGCATTCACGTAGTTCCATAGTCACCGGAGGTTCCAAACTTACTGTTCTGAGTTGTGTTGGGAGTTGAGCAGTTACAGAAGGCCATTTGAATCATTGTTAAATGGGTTCAGCTCAACTATTCGGGTATTTATCCTATTTAGAGACATGCGAGCCGTTTTTATTACTGGCTTTTTCACTCCACAGGCCTTTCATGCCTTTGTGCGTTTCAGCGCCTGTGAGTTTCCCGCAATCCTAGAGCTCCTTGCTTCCTCCATCGTTTCATGGTTCCGGATCCACCAAGCATCTCGATCTGCGCACACGTTCTTTCTCACCTGATGTCTGACAGTTCATCGAGCGTAACTGTACTGTAGATGAAGTGCTTCAGCTGTGAGAAGTTTTAGTGTCATTCGAGGTGCTCAGAAGTAGTTGGCTGCGTCGTTTAACGGCATCTTGCATTTTTGCGGACAGTACTTTCCAGTGTCTTGATTAGACGTACTGTCCGAAAGAGATTTCGGCAGCTAATTAAGGTTGGACAGTTTCTTAACGGGCAGGTGAAGTGAAAGAATCTTGCGTGCCACTAAAAAGCAAAAAGATCAGTGGAGAAGGGAAAGCACGTTGTCATAATCCACATAGGTTCTTGAGACCGAGTGCCAATCGGCAGTTGAGCTATGCCACCTATAACTAAAGACGATGTCGTCTGTCTGTGTTGGACGTTGGATTACGTGTAAGGGCCACTAAGCATCCAATCTGTTTTGGTTGTTTTGGAAACTATTGCTCTACGTAGATGACCTTTGTTGAGCAATCAACTGAGGCGTGCGTTTGTCATTGTACTTGCCTCCTGACTCTAGTCCAGTTGAACCTCAGCAGCGCTAAGTTTACCAAGTTGTGCATTCATATCCAGGGCAACAAATCCAATGTCTTGGCCCCCTTCAAGGGAGCGCTAAAATCGTCTGAGAGTATCGCACCTGCAATGTGTTGGGGACGATTAGCATGCAGTGATCACCGACACGTTTGAGGATTACCCTCACACTTCGTGACAGGCAAACTGCACAAGTAAGGCTATCAACTGGTAAGAGCAGATACTCTTCATCTTGATAGCTCAGAACTGCCACCCTAAGCAGAATCAGTCGCGGTGGCTTCCGGATAACAATAATTGGGCGACCGAATAGAGAAAAACAGTTGGGAAGTCTGTCCAACAACTTTCCTGAATCCTCGTTTCAGAAGGACATCAACGGAAAGCTAGCCTATCATACAAGAAAGACCAGCCTGTTTCAGTGCTTGTTTCAGAATTCAACGCTGAATGCCATCAAACAAACTGAGTGTTTTGAGTATGATTTCTAGGTTTCTGTGGCCGTGGTGCCTGAGTAAAGCGTAGATATTATTACTGACGTTTGTGGGTGATGAACAGATATGTTGGCTCTTTAGAATGTATCTACAAATGTGTTGACAGAAGATGGTATACATGAGGAAGAGTAAAGTGTGTGTGAGAAAGAGAGAAATAGGGGAGACGTCAAAGTACGGGTATAACCCATCAAAAGCGTAAGATTGACAGAACATCGTGTTGGACCTGTGACGCGGCCTACTATCGCCTGTCGAGTTATCTTAAAAATATCAAGGAAAGCTGGAGTGAAACTATTTTTGGTTACTGGTAGTCTCTTTATTGATCTTCCTGCTGTGTTCAAGGAGAATAGTTGTATTCAACATGGCTAACTACTTAACGTGTTCCATACATATACTTGTCGTTTGTGCCAGCTCAAAGTGATATCGTACGCACACGTTGTATCCACTTCTGTTCAAGAATGTGCGTAACCAACCCTGCAAGCAAGAATGTTAGATGTAATCGCGATTGTACCTAGCGTTACCTATGGCAGATCATTTGGCTTTACAGTCAAACGTAAACAGCTTAACCAGATAAATCACTTCCGTTCAGCAGTATGCCTTGAAGGGATGAGCGAAAAAAACACAAATTGATTGCATCAGAAAAACGCCATGCATGTGTGGAACGCCCGGCTCATCATAATTTTTGTCGCAAAGCTTCACAACTGTTGGTTGTTCACAGTTAGGCAAGCAGCGCATGTTGCGCAAAACTTTGCCCATTGCTGCAAAGTGACTTTCCATTCACCGACTTAGAGCAAAATACTGAATATTTGAAGGGCCATTCGCGAAACGACCGATGGTTTCAACAATTCAGTGATTTCTTTGTGTAAGTAGTCAATGCGTCAGCCTGCTTACAGAAACGGGTGGCGACGACTTGTGATCATTTTAAACATTCTCGTCTTCCTCTCTATGGACTGCAAGCTTTGAGTATGGTGGTAGCAACTGGGTTTGAGCGTTCTCAGCGAAGCACAAGAGGAAAAAGCGTACAACAATCAATTCCTTTTCAAGGGGCTGACACCACTTATATTAGCATGAAATAGGGCAATTATGAATGGCATCTCATGCTGGATACTTAAGCATGATGTGCTGGTCCTGTTGAAACTCTGGGTGTGATGTAAAACCAAGGAGTTGAAATCGGCATGCAAACTCGAAAAGTCTTGCTAGGTTCAGCCGGTCGGAGCGGGATGGTAATATAACGAACGCAAGCCATGTACTAAAAACTGAGGGGCAGGTGTCATACGTCACTTTTCTGACCTTTCACTTAAGGAAATTACGCCAAACGGTGTCACAAAATCTTATTTGTCAGGGCTTGTGTAGAATGCAACGTCGTTTGTGGTAGATAGACAGACGACATAGGTGTAACTGAACCTCCCTCAACTTACCCGATAAAGCTGCGCAGGTGATAAAACGGGAGGGCACTGCTCAGTTTTCGTCCCTGAAAAATTTCGTTGACCTCGCGCGGCTACATGGGTCGGTGGATACGTCGCGAGTCGATCTTAAGTATTTCTTGCATCTTTAGGTGACCAGGCCACCAACCAAGTCTCAGAATGCGCCATATCTTGATTTATGGCTTTCCCCTAGTTGTCTTCGGTCAGCGTCACATTCGCCTACGATGTTTAATAAAACTCCACGACTCTTAAAACCACATGGATTGCGTCTCTGCATTTTAGTTCAGATCCTCCTCAGCCTTGAAGATCAGTCCTTTACTACCCACGTAGAAGCCGTTTGGGAATTCACTCCGATGACGTGAGCCCCAGATTGTTCAGCCAGCACAACTGCCCACACATTTTCTAGATAGATTGAGTATCCGGGATCACATACGAACTGTGCATGAGCTTAGCCTTTTGGAGACACTGCATATGGATTGCCCAAAGATTCGGATACGAAGTTACTCTACCACACCGTTCAGTGGCACGATATCCCAACTAAATTTGTCCATTCGCAGATATTCATTTCTCAAAACGCATTTCAATGTCACAATGACTTGAGGGTGGTATCGCAAAGGTATCGCAAATCCGAGTAACACAATAACCCGTTATTTTACACCGCAATGTAGGATCAATTTGGTATTTTCAAGACGTCGGATGACAGCAAACAAGCGTATCGATTATATTCACAGTTGAAATACAGTGACAAAGCATCGTGGTTCACTCTTTAGAAGACAAAATCTTTAGAAGAATCTGTCGCTCTGTTCAAATGTTTTCACCCTTGGAGCTTGTGAAGTTACAAGTGAAGGGTTCAGCGTAGATCAGAGCGTCAAAAAGGTTACGTTATTACGCCTACGTGTTTCTGACTGAATGCAATGTGAAGTTTTTCAGAAATCCAGATGTTTTGGCTACTCACTCTGGTGTGTGTGATCGACCATTCATACCAAAAGTCCTCCCAGCCAAACGAATGCCATGTGGCTCAAAGATACGTTGGTTCCGCTGGGAAGGTTCTCTGTCAAAACATTCTGAATGAAACTTTCGATGTCTGATGTCACCATTATGGCTTGAAAAATATATATATATATATATATATATATATGGCAGAAATAGGACGTGCTGCCTCCTATAAATGTTTCATTTTTGGACCTACTCGCAGACGGAAAGGCAGGCATGCCCCTTCAAACACGGAGAACACTTTGACAATTCCCGTCTGCTGCCTAAACGGGTTTTCGTATACCGCAGACCAAAATAGTGAAAGTGCGGGTGTGAGATATGACTTAAAATTGTTCAAACTCTAGGGGAAATTGTGCAGAACATTGTTTTCAATTGAGAATAACGAAACGCACATGTTATTGTACTTACTGTAGAATATGTTCTCACCTCTTTCATATTCAGGATAATTTTCGGGAATGTTGTTCATTTCAGACCAAAATTGATAATAAATTCGGTGGAAAGTTTTATTGATGGACATGTATTGAAAATTCGGACATTTTAAGTTGAATATAATATAAGAAACCCAAGCAGAATAGTTGACAGTATTCTAGATTTGTTAACTAGACACTTTTGTGATTAAATGATTATCAAAATTGGCCCGGAGATGTAGCATCACGGAGCAGGCTTTACCAAACCGTCACGCTATATGGTTATGATGCGTCTGGGAATTTTTACTTCAAACAATCGCGAAACATTAATCATGATGGGTGTGGTCCGACAGCAGCCTGGCATCCTTTCCCATTATGACGAAAGCGGAGCTCCCCATCGATCTACTCTCAGTTTGGTCCTGCTCAACGCGCGCTCGCCCACTCTCGTAATTCAGCCAATAAGCGTTCAGAAGCCTATGCTGGCCAATCAGGGCTTGGACAGTGCGTACATTTGATTGGGCGAGGCGAACATCTATCTACCTGCTTCTGTGGGCAGGATAACATTCACTCCGCGGGGCGATGCGCTTCTCTTGGATTCTTATTCACTTATGCGTACAAATAAGCGCCTCACAGCTTTTCGAGGATGGAGAATTCGATTCAAGGGAGCTGGGCTCCCCAGGAAACATCATAAGCGAATCCAACGACGATAGATATGTGAGTGAAAATTTGTTATGCCAGTGATTGGTTTATTGGTGAGAATTAACGAGGGCTGGTTTTCTTCATACGTTTGGGAACGAATAACAGCCTTTCTGATTAGCTACTGATAGCTCCAGAAGTATAAAAATTTCAGGGATGAATTGCCGTTCAATCTGACATCATTCCTAACATTCGTGTAAAAAATATAATTAACCACATGACCGAACTCGGTGCTACTACGGTCACGCCTTATTTTCGTGTTACCTATCGCTCCATCTGGTCCACTGTTCATCGATTTCAATGAGAATATTTGATAATAGCTGCACAAATTAGTTATCTGTTTAAGTGCACAAGTGCTTTGTCTGTGCTTTCGTCCATTCGAATAGAATAAAATTAACCTTCAGGAATGGATGTGCTTCTGTGAAATATAACGATAAATCTTGGGCGATGTCGGAAAAGTACTCGTTTTTAATCTAACGTTCCCGGCTGATCAGGATAGAAACCTATTAGGTGTCAGATTAATATAGGTAAGTTTCACGTGTCAGTTAACCGTCGTTCGTACATTGTTCAGTCTTGCTCAACCTATTGAGAAAGCTCAAGTTGAAACGCTAGGGTCGAAGTCCGTGGGCCCGAAGAACCTATCAGCAAAACCAAAAAAGGAAATCCTCTCACTCACTGACAGTTAGCGAGGAAAAAACAGTACAGTTGTTTAGGATTCGAGAGTGAAAAGATGTTTCAGAGGCATAAGGACGGACAGAGTCGTTGTGAGTCTTGACCAATCTGTTGCGAAGCATTACTACACTTACCCAGTTAAGTGTGGAGCCAGAAAGAGTGCCGTGTGTGTTTCCAAGTAAAACCAATTTCTGAAATTGGTTCTGATACCCATTTGTTTAACGCCTCATCAATGATGCACCAATGGAATCAGTGTCACCAACAGAATGTTTGCTTCCCAAAAAAGCAATTTTCGGACGGTTGGTACTCAGAATCGGAAAAGTAGTTCCAATCGAAATCCAAAATGTATGAACCCAGTATCTGCAATGTCAATTTTAAGGAAAGTGGTTGTTATCGATAGTAAATTCGCGTTTCAAGGCCGATCACCTAAACTCGTGGATAACCAGTTTAGGCCAACTCAGCAGTAATCTGTTATTCGATTGTCGCATTTCGAAAATAAGCAAGATCAGTGGTTAACAAGAACGTGAAAACAAGTATTACGAAAACCAAAATGATTGGAAAGAGAAGCCATTGAACTATTTTCGGATTCTCTTGGATACTTCCGGAAATGTGGAAGGACTAGGCAGTAAGCCATTCAGAACGACTCATGTTACACGGATTAGTACTGTACTAAATCGCCTGATTGCTGGAACAAGATTAAAGGAAGCTCTCAGTTTCAGAAAAGAAATGTTCAAGTTGATCAGCTAATCTAGATTACTCGGTGTTCAAGATAATTTAGCAACAGGGGAATGCAAAGTTGGTTAGAAAATACTTCGATAATGCAGAAGCGTGGATTGATATAGGCTGTCGAGAAAAAGTCTGGTGAACGTGGTTGCTAAGCCTCAGAGAATGTGGGGGGGTTTTGGTGGCTGACCTCTTCACAGCGGCTTCCCGATGGTTTCGGAAGTGAGGATAAGTCAAGCGATAAGCGATAGGGTTATAGAAAGCACGTTATCCTAATTCAATTCATCAGGGCTGCAAATCCAACGTTACCTGTTTTCGTGGGCATGGTAACAAAAGTTTACAAGCCGCACAGTACACCAGAGTGGTGACATGAGAGTGAAGCGAAGCCAGGTAAAACGTGGTCAAGGGACCGAGTTAATTTTCTGTACTTCTGATTGTGCCGACTGTGTTCTGAACAGCTTAGCTCGTCAGCCTTCTTCTTCCAATTTTGCCGTACTATTATGAAAGCTTGAGAATGCCCAATTAAGAGATTGTGTTGATATTGATGATTCTTGGTTTTCTTTCAAGGATTTCTGGTACTTTGTAGGTTGTTAAGCGGTCTGCAGTAACCTGTTGACAAAAATTCTGATCATTTCCACATGGGAAAGCTTCACTGCAGCTGGAATGAAAACGGACGGCTGATAGGCTGGTAGGTACAAATCCCCAGCTTGCACAGATCAAAATGGCTAAGCAGAGGAGTGTTTACTTTAGTGACGAGTACGGCACCTTTTCAAGCTCGCTTGCAACATAGCGGATTCAGCGAAACGTCTCTGTCTGAAGCCGTGTCAATTAGCTTGAGGATTAGGCTTGCGGCGCAGGGGGACAGCTTCGGCTTGTCACTGGTAACCGGTGTCCTTTCCAAAAGCGCATACATCAGTTAAGTTGCACCTGGTGTAAAGAAATCAGTCATCTTCTGAAACAGCCGTTACTAAGCCTTTTTTGAAGACAATTATTAGTCGATTTTCTACCAGGGACTGCTGGCTTAACGATGGCGGTTTTTCGGGCTGTCTTACACGAAAGTCGAGTAGATAAAAAGCTTTGGATTTTCACTCATTCGACATGCACAAATTTGGGTATACAGCATTAGAAGTATTTCGAACTCAACTGCTGATTACCCTTTTCATTGGTCACCGTCAGTGTCCGATGAATGAAATCAGATAGGTTTTCATAAATAAAACTATTCACAAGGTTGCTGAAAATTCTTCGACAGTCCACGACCGATTTCACCCTTCTTGGGGCTCATCAGGTAGACGTAGTCGCCGAGTTTCCGTCAACCTTATGATCTGCTTGAACCCAAGTTGCACTGTTTTCGAGAAATAAACTCATTTGCGGATCAATTTGGTTTTAACGAGAGACTCAACTGAACCAGATAGGATTTGCCGGCTTAGTTCGTTTCCCATAGAGACACTCAGTTGTTTTAACGAAGACTCAACTGAACCAGATAGGATTTGCCGGCTTAGTTCGTTTCCCATAGAGACACTCAGTTTGTCTATTTACGCCGTTCCTTCAAAGCAGATAAATGGTTCAACTTTGATACACAGCTGGATGCAACGGTGCACAACACAGCCAGTAATTCACTATTTTTATAAGGTTGGATTCCCAGACGAATCAGCTCACCAGCCGAATTGGGAAACATCCAAGATCACATTGTGATCAACCTTAATGACACATATATACCAGTCTGAATCAGCCAGCAAGGCGCAGTTAATCGCTCGCCAGTGACTGCTGAGGGGACTGGCTTCAGTTGCGACCAGCGTCCGCTGTGAATATGTGATACAGCTGTTATGCACTTGAGTTTTTCCTTTAATTTCCTAATCCCGGGACAGTTGTAGTTTAACGCGACTCGCTTTGACTCGGCTGTTGGTGGCAGAAAGACAGGAGTCTGTTGACCTCGTATCACAACGGAAACGAGACGAGAACGATTAAATGCATCTGGACATGCCACTGCGACCTCAGAGTGTTCGACTTTGTTGGCACGTGACTTGTCGGTATTGGCCGAATGACTGATTCAGCCACTGAATACACGTCAGGCCAACTTGAATGGGCTTATTTTGTCTAAGTATACCTTCCAGGAGAGCATGCGTTTCCCATCATGGGACTTCACCTAGTCCGTACGACCGAAACATGACAATCGAAGCGTTGTGGCAAAGTTAGGATGACATGGCCCAAGTGGTTAGAGCGCTAATTTCCTTACCGAAAGGTCCGTCATTCGAATCCGACCTCTGCCTCTAGACTTCGACTGTCTGGGCTTGGGCAACCTGGCAGTAACCCAGCCCCCATGGTTTCCTCGGATATCATGTCAGCTAGGCACCGGAAGGATGTTACAACTGAGGTTTGCGTTGTGTTAAGGTTATCTAGGCACACAGTCACGAAAAAGGTAGACTCAAGTTTTTCAAATAAATCATTCACCCCTATATGAACGTCGCTCGACACAGTCCCTATTTAAAGTTCCCCAACACCGCTTCATAAAAGATATGACCATGTTGTAAAGTTGTTTGATAGAATATTTCCATTCAGTAGGGGAATAATCGTCTAAGATGAGACCCACTTTGTTCTCCGTAGTACTTCAGTGTGTTCCATTTGAATAGATCAGACAAACAGGTTCATCGGCTGCTATTCGACTGCAGGTCAATACTTGTGTCCAACCTCTCCCCAGCTTACTAAAGTTTTCAGTGGACTATTAGTGAAGTCATTTGATCACATCCGATACAGATTTGTTTATCTAGCTTTTGCATTGCTTCACTCTTACACACTTACAACCGAACTAAATGTGTAACAGAAGTACTGCAATGGGAAATTGTTGCCCCCTCACTACCAGTTTCAATGACAATGCTGCATGTCTGTATAGATTTGTACAAATGTGTTCATCGATCGAATGTCAGCTGGTTCGTACCAGTCATATGGTTGAATCTCGTCACTACATCCAATGCGCGCCCAGATTGTCACGTGTCGATTCCTCTAGTCTCCATCGACCAAAACATGGCTGACGTGCCATTTTGCTCAAAGGTACACAAGCTGTGCTCGCTGCTTCTAAAACTGACGACAATTTGTTCTCTTAGAATCATCAAGAATGTGTTCGAGGTTCGGTTAGGATATACAAAACAATCGGTATCGACCTGAATGACTGAAACAAAGATTGTAAAATGTGGACGGTTGTAATCTTTCGGCTGGCCCAGTATGGACAGTAAAATTTCACGCGGAAAGAGTAATGCGATCAGCTCCAAGTCTTGGCCAAGTGGGCATTTCAATATTCTGTCCATTGATGACTACTCCACCCCTTCTTCAGCTGAGTTATCATCGATCTATGTTTAGGACCAGAGAGATGCTTGGCTTTGAAGTTTGACGGATCAAATCTTACTTGAGGTCACTTGGATTGACTGTTGACATCGGTTGAGTGTACGAATCATATCTGTAAGAGTTTTAGAAGATGTTCACATAATGATCGGCATTTTTCCGTCAATAAATTGACCAATGGTTTGACCAACTCAGATGCTCAACCAAAGATGTGTTCATTTTCGTTCGGCAAAGTTCTGCTTATTCACTACCGCATGTTATTGAACCAGAAAGTAGTGTTGTTGACGTAC